CTCGACACCTCATAAAGCTAGTGTTGCCATTTGCACTACCTATGGTGGTTCATTGATTATAACTATACAAATTTATGAAATCCATTGTGTTAAATCATCATTTATTTCAATTTTTATATGACTTAGTGTTTCTATTTATTTTAAAATTGACTTTGATTTCCATATAGATAAAATCAACACATCCTGAGTTATTCTTACATTTTGCGACAGAGTGTTCGCAGGTGAAAACCATTTCAAAATAGGACGACACTCCCCAACGAGCGCTAGATGGGTACTGACCAAAATCGCTCATCTATGACCATGGAAGTGGAAACCTTGCCTTGAAATGTATGAGATGCGGTGTTGCCAGGCGAACCAACGATGCAATGTTGCAAAATTTGTGGCGCTCCTGACCTTTTATTTCGATCTAAATGAAGTGCCGTCCTAATTCACAATTCAAAAATGTGTACGCTCAAAATAAAACCATTATTTGGGCGTAGAGAATAATCTAACACATATTGTCAACATGCATCTTAATTCAAGGAACTAACTGGTGTAACATACTAGCAACAACAAATTTGTTGTATTCATATAATTCAAGTGCAGCTAAAACCCAAGGGGAAGTGTAAACTTTTTTGGGTATCTTATGTTTATTGGACAGTACCGTTATTATTTATACGAAAACTTTGTAGTTAGACCAATAAACATTATTATTATTGTTGTACTTTTTGAAAATGCTTATCGAGTTCTGTATTCCTTGTAGAAATTAAGAAATTTGACACTGAAAATAAATATGGTGGTTTCAAAAAATAAAACATATAGACGTTAGACCAACTGTAGACTGTAATTTAACCTCTGACAAGTTGAAAACTGTTATTATACGAGTGACAGCTTGTCAAGACTAGGCAGCATACTGTTTTTATTGGTATACAAAACTCAGTGAAAATGTCGCGAGCAGTATAAAATTTGCTGAATTGCCTATTACTACAGAATATGTAGGTATTCTTATATTCCTCAAGGTTATGAATAAGGAAGAAATAATATGCAAAACGCTCTAGCGAAACCGATTAAATCTAAGAAGGTCTCTATATTTATACCTGCATTCAGAAGTTTATTTTGAAACCAAACCGTGTACCGGCATGTCAACCGCACGAACTAAAGCTTACTGACATAACCTCTAAACAAAACAAAGTTTAAATTTAGCTTTTTATTCATTGATCCTTCCAACTGAAATCCCCAGATGAATCAACTTAAATCTATTTATACAGAAACAACATGTGCAAGCTTTGTAAACAAAATAAAAAAGAATATTATACGAACTTGTCAGTATTTGCCGACGTATCTTAAGAGTAGGCTGGTGTCAAACGTAGAGGCACATGGTAAGCAAAGCACACTAGATTAGCACCGAATTTCACGCACATGCAGTTCACGGTTTACGTTATTTAATCACCGGTTGTTCACAGAGTAACCGCGCGGCACCGCGATGTGGATGCAAGCATTGTTCGAGTAACTCGGTAATGGTACCCGGACCCGGCAAAAGCAGAGCTTACAGCCAGTGCTGAGCCTCAGCGCCGCTGAGACAGCTGCTCGATCAGCGGCACGAGTCTCGCCGACCGCGGCCGAGCTACTTAGCTACGCGGTTTAGTCCAGAAGCCATCTAGGTATCTAGGCAGTTATTGAAATACTGCCATCCACTATTAATACCCACTGAGAGAAAGGACCTCCTATACATGCCAAAAGCTACTGGTACACAAACGGTTCGAAAACTGAAGATGGAGCTGGAGCTGGATCGCCATCTGCTTAGCCATACAGGCATTCAGTTTATCGCAAATATCGTCTAAGCTATACTATAACTATCTAAAACTGTAATGACTCATCGATGTTCACGTGAACATCACTTAACTACCAGTAGTCGGCTGTTCATAGGCGGGGTATGAATGTTTAACATGGGTGAACTAGATTTGTAAGTCAAAAATTTGGGAATTACCTTTATTCATCGTCGCTTCCACTTACATCTGACAGTAATAAACTGTCGCTATCGCTTTCCTCGTTGAAATTGACTATAACTGGCTCTATGATGGTGTCGATGTGGTGGTCAAGCTGCCACATTTTTGTTTCTTCCTTCACAACATGACCGATAGCATTCTGCCAAGCTTCGGGCGTTACTAGCTGTATGGAAGTCTCAAGTAAAACCTTAACGTCTGGTAATTTGAAGGTTGTGTTATGGCGCTCAATATAACCCTTCAGTTGAGCCCAGATGAGCTCTATTGGGTTCAGTTCACAGTGGTAGGGCGGTGCAGCACAGTGACACCACATTGACGGGCCATCTCATCAGTCACGTAACTAATGTTCGCAGGTTTGTGCTGTTTAATTTTTTCATACAATTCCGCTTTCACACATGAATCGTCAAACGGGATTCCTTTTTCGCGCAACCATTGCTGCATGTCACTTTTTCGAGATCCCATAGTCGGTACACGTTCGGCTCGACGACTATGGTAGGAAGCATTATCCATGACGATCACAGAGTTGGGCTCAACTCGCTGAAGCACCCCTTGAAACCAGCTCTCGAAGCAGCTGGCATTCATCTCGTCATGGTAATCGCCTCCTTTCTTAGAGACGAAAATCAAGTCACACTCTTCTAAAAAGCCACTATCGCTACCAATATGAGTTACGATCAATCTTTGACCTTTCCCTGACGGTCCACGAAGACCTGTTGACAAACCTTCAATGCTTGCTTGTCGGTTACTCACTACGTTTTTTGTCTATCCAGGTTTTTTTAACTGTGTGACCTGCATTTACCCATGTCTCGTCCAAATAATAGATTTTTCTGCTTTGTCGCCTATATTCAATCATTTCGCGTAGGTATTTTCGACGCCAGGCGACTATTTCAGGTCTCTCTATCAATACTGACTTCCGATTACGCGTTTCGTAACGAAAATTAATTTCGTGCAGGGATTTCCTCATTACCTCGACGGTCATTTGGGGTATAATTTCATTTTCCTTGATCGCTGCATGTACAGCCTTGAGGGTTGGTATCTCATTCCTAAAGAAAAATGAATGTACTGTTCGCCTTAACGCCATTTTGCTATCGTCATCCCTTCAAATTAAACTTTGGATCAGTAGTAGCTCCAGTTTTCTTCTTTTCATGCACCACCCTGCGAATGGTCCACTCTGGAACGCCTGTCATACTTTCACAACGCGCGAGTGCATCTCCCTGCGACATAGTTCTGTTCAGATAATTGAACACGTTGAGCACGATTTCTTTCGCGTCCCTCTTCAGTGCTTTACGAAGCCGTCTACTTGTTCTCTGGCTTTCAGTACTTCCACTCGTGCCATTTGTACTCTCCATGGTTAAGTATAACCAAAACAGTAACCACAGAAACCACAACAATAACAATCACACAACAATTCTTATAAAAACACACAATACGCGATCGCTCAACGAAACACGTTCCAATGCGTTGCCGACGCCTATGAGTCTGCCGATCAAGGCGCGTCTTTGATTTCATTGGTTCTACCGGCGGAGAACAATCAGCCATTATTTCCATCTCTGTCTGTGCTGTTGACCACCGCAAAGCCACAGAAACGACATATGTCGTACGCTATACGACTGTACTGGAAGGAAGCCGGGATCGAGCTCTGATCACGTGTTGATCACGCGTATGAGTCATTACAGTTTTAAATAGTTGTAGTATAGTATAGGATTGCGTGATCACTCTCAAAGAGCTGTAAAACAGAAATAAGGTAACACTGCTGTACATGACGGGCACAAACGAAATGAGAAGGCGGATGGGCTAGCCCGACAGGGTGCAGCCAATCGCCTTATATATTCACAGCCTTTCTGTGGTGTGACCAGAACACGCACCAAACAGTCCATAAGAAATTGGACCAAGAAGAAGTCCCTTGAATGGTGGAACAGAGGGGCAAAGGCAGACAAAAGAGTTCATTAAAGAACGAAGGCCCGCATTTACAGATGTCCTACTTGTATTCAATAGGAAGGCCATAGTGGGTCTCATGACAGGATACTCGTTCTAGGTCGATATATGAGACTCTTGGGTCTAGCATTCTGCAGCGAGCACAAGGAAACCCCAGTGCATCTCCTGTGTCTCTGTCCTGGCAAGGCTACGGTTTCAGATAGTACGAGTAGGAACCACAGGACCACCAGCGGAAAGCTACATGCAAGGACCTGTGTCAAGGCTATGGAGTCTGATCAAAGATTAAGGGTGGACACAGTGCTTTAGAGAGTATATATGGGGGGGGGTCACAATATATCCATTTGGATCGCAGTGACGTTAAGGCTGGCAAGTCAATCGCTTTCTTCTATAATCTGTAATCTTGGCCAGACAAATATGGGAGATTATCGACATAAAAACCACAAGATAAGCGCTTCTGATGTTACATACAGATATATTCTAACAACCTTAAAGAGACAGCCCAACCGAAACCGGGCCCACTTCAGTGCGGATGGCTCCCATACTATATGTGCTTCGCCCAACGAACGATATCGAGTAAATCGCTCGCCTGAAAGCGTTGCCAAATCCCTGAAAGCTCTGCTGAAAACTGCCCGCCGGATAAGCCACCCTACAGTGTTGCCGGCTAGCGCTTTTAAGCAAAAATCCGAATAATTCCTCTAGATCAAAGGATCACCACCATCATTTTTAGTGGAGGTTTGGCGTTGTTTTTTTGTTACGGCCAGCGATTATTATGTTTATCAGGATTGAAAAAACATAAATTGATCCGAAAAAAATATCATGCTAAGTAGCAACGTTTCCGAGTAATTTGAACTTTTAGTTGACGATAAAGATAAAAGGATATAGGTACTGTAGTAACATTCAGTATATAATGTTTTGTGATAAGAATCGTCATAAATAACTTAAAATTACTTTCGCTGAAACAATTTACAATTACCAAAAGATAATTTATTAAGAATGTCACAGGTAATGTTTTCTTTGTTAATATGAATGAAATATTAAGGCAATATACATGTGATTTTTAGCAGAAATATTTTGTTTATTTTACAGATAAGCAACAGAGAGAAATATGAGATAATACATATACAAGTCTACACAGGAAGATAACATTATCAAAATATCCAGTTTGAATAAAAATGCATTACTTTTCCTCCCATAGGAATTTTTAAGTAATGCTACTAACTTTCCCAAAAAGGTGATTTTTAGCGGCGGACGGTCTCGGCAATAGGCCGATCCAGCCGAAAGGTTCTCACATCTTTTTTGATGGTAAAAAATGGCGTCAAGCAGATTTGCTATGTACTTCCTAAGTAAAAAGTGGTCTAAAGTAATTGTATATGAGAAACGCGGTGCTAAAAACAGATTTCTGGCAGGTAAAATATAAGTACCACAATTTTTTATTTATAAGCAAACGACACTCTCTTAGGGAAAAACATATATAATCAAAAACCAACGAATACAGTCTTCGTTAATATTATTCTAGGGCGCAAAAGCTACCTTAAATTTACTTATCATACAATAATGCAAAAGCAATCTCCTAAATATTGTTACCGCTGCCACTGGAATTTCCGCCAAGCGGTCGTAAGACATACGCCGCACGCCTTTCGCGAGTTAATTTACTGTTATCATCGGGCGGTCGCAGGTAGTGAACACAGAATTCAATACCAGCGTTTCTATTTAACATATGTATGAATACTATACCTGATAAATAAGTACTACCAACCTACAACCCCCCTGGAACGTCAAAAAATGAAGATTGAGCAATTTTTACTTTTTTTGTTTTTGTTGCCCGTAGCTCCGCCGTCACTGGATCGATTTTCAAAACTACACAGCTTTTTCGTCCCTGGCACAGTAGCAACCTTGTGCATAAAATTCATCAAAATTCCAGCGATACTTTCAAATTTATAGAAGATTCGTTTATTTTGCCGACAGGAAGACATGTCATGTAACAACGAAAAAACATCTCGGAGAGGAAGAGGAGGGGAGGTCGTAGGAAGAAACTGTTTTTAGCACTTAGTGTCTACTGCTAATATTCCGTATACTTTGCTACAAGGTAGAATTTTATTAGCAGTATTTGACTTTCTTGGCCTTTTAGTAAAACGTAAAAGATACCGTATCTGGAATATTTTACGATTTTGTCCTTTGCGGATATATAATTACAAGTCCTTGTCCGGAAATTATGAATTCTATATATCTCGACATTCTTTAAGAGCTTTTTCTCGTAACATATTTTACGACACCAAATTACTAGTTTTATGGTTCCTAAGATAAATATTAATTACTAACGTCATGTATATGATTGAATTGTGAGAGGATTTAAAATAGAGAGGCTGATATAAAAAGCCTGCGCTTCTGAATAAATGAAAACCCAATGGCAAAGATGGGTACTTAAAATTCGAAGAGCGAAAATCATGAATGCACAAGGACGTAAATACAAGTCCAAATAACTTTATAGTTATTGATATAGTATATCTGTACCTCAGAGCCAGACCGGGTCAAGTCCAAATAAGCAGTTTTGAGATAATTGTATTTGAAATATTTTTCTTTCATTGTATTGTATGCGACTTGACATGAGTTAAAAAGTCGTAACTTCCTTATTATTACAGATAGATGGACGCTGCATGTAGCAAATGAAAATTCACAATATTATCATAAGCTTAACATATTAAACTCATTTCTAACAAAAATAGCTCTAGTCTGGCTCTGGGGCACGGATATAGAAACGTCCAACCACTTAATACAATGCCGCATATTAAAAATTGAAAAGCATTCATTTTTCAACAGAGTTACTAGGTACAAAACCTAAATAATGTCATCAAAAACTGACACAATGGCAACTTGTTGACTAGATAGTTCCTAGTATGCTAATAGTAGAGAAAGAAAGTAGAAACCTGACGCTGTGGGCAAAAAACATGTTTTTCGGACTAAACTAGAGAAAAGACATGCGGAGTATCACTCCATTGAATGATCTTTATCTCATAGTTTAGTTGTTTATCATCATCACTTAAGATTATCTTGGTCCTATCACCAAATCAGATGGCAAATTATTTCTGACCATGACGACTGGACTATTACCAAATAATAATACTAAGGAGCGTTATGGTGGACATGTGTATATATATATATAGTGGATACCAAATAAAATCCGATGCACGTCATAGGTGATGTCATTCATAAAAATCATGGTTACCAACAGTTGACTACATTCAATGTGACATTTCTACTTGAAGTTTAAATTTCCCCGTCTCGATTCGGTTGGTAGTGCCGTGCAGAAAAATGTGAGGTTGCCACTTCTCATTTGTTGACATCAGTTGCCATTGTCCTTTTGTCGTACTATTAGTTCTTTATTGTTTAGTTTGTGAGTTTTGCGCTATTTGAGCTTTGAATCGTTGCCTTGCCAATTAAAAGTTGTTCTTCTCAGAACAAAAGTTACTGTGAAGTGGTATAAAGTATCCAAAATGCCAAAACAACTTAACAGTCGGTGTAAAGAGCTCATATCAATTCTGGCAACAGCGCACAGCTCCAGATCGATGACGTGCATCGGGTTTTATTTGGTATCCACTATATACGCCTTCCTGTAACACTGGTTGCATAAGCTTCGCAAAAACACGTATTTTCAGATCACATTCATGCGCACACTTTGGTAACTATCATGCCCGCCCATATAGCAAAATCCAGGGGGGCACGTTTGGTTTACACGATGTGTAGGATCAAAAATGCTTAGAACTAGCCAACCCGTTGGTGACAATTGCATCGTGGGTGCAACTATATTCAAAATAGCAGAATCCAGGGGGCATATGAACCCATCTATAGTTGCCTACATTATAAGGTATATATAGCACTGCGAGGGTCACGTACTGAAATAACTTAAGTAAAAAGCTTCCTTTAAAAAAGGTAATTTTGAACTATAGACCCAAGTCTCACTTTGAGAAATTGTTAAATGGCGTATCTGCGATCTAGACAAAAATTGCAATCCTGGGTAAATCGAGAGAAAGCAGCATCTGATCGTGTGGGAAAAAAGCGCATTTTTAGGACTAAACTAAAAAAAAGAAATGCAAAGTATCACTCCAGAGAATGATATTTATCTAATAGTAAATTGATTGTTTATGGCATCACTTAAGAATATCTTGGTCTATCACGACGTCAGATTGCAAATTATTCCTGTACATGACGACTAGGCTATTACCAAATAATAACACTAAGTAGCTTACAAGGTAGACATGTGTATACACTTTCCTGCAACACTGGTTGCATATGCCCCGGATAAACACTTTTCCTGCTTGTATACACTTTGGTAAGTTTGGTTGCGTACATCAGTGATAAAGGTGCATAGGTGTATACAAGGAGTACGAAGGATGATATGAATATGTTAGCAAGAGGAATGAAAAAAAAGATCATAGAGGGATTCTGTAACGTCAAGGTTTACCAGAATAGACTTTTGCAGGTACATGAGGATAATGGTAGTGTATTTGTACTTGTCACTCTTGGTTATTATAAGGAAATTGTTTTTTTTTTTTTCGTTTATTCTCTATATTGATTAACGTGGCAGCCAAGATAATGCTATATGCCCACGTCCAAAGAATTATCCGAGATGAAATGGGATACCATAGCATTCCTTTTATTATTATTTTCTTGGCTGATTCGAATGCCTGCAAAACATTTTTTTTTTCCGTAAAGGTATGTGAATTGAATTTTGTTGTTGAGCGTCTAAACTGGTCCAGCGGGACTTTTTCGATATTTTGGACCAACATTTACCATTTTCATCCTGCTAGACTATGTACATGGACATCAATTTGAAGCAACATTGTGCTTTCAGGTTTTGCTTTAGACTTGGTCACAGTGCAATGGAAACTCTTGCGAAACAGGCCTAAGGAGAGTTTTGTCAAGAGCCCAGGTTTTTCGGTGGTTTAAGGCATTTTCAGAAGGAGAATCGATTGAAGATGAACCACAAAGCAGAAGGCCTTCATCTTCAAGAACCGATGAATAGTTCGACAGAATCTGGGATCTTGTGCGTTCAGATTGTAGGTTGACAGTCGAAATGATCGAGGAAGAGTTAAATTTGACTCACACCATAATTCATCAGATCAAGAACAACTGTTGTTGCATCGCGATAATGTTCTTTGTCACACAGCATATCAATAAATGAGTCTTTGGCCAGTAAAAACATTCCTCTGGCTCCTCAGCCTCCTTATTCGCCCGACTTGAGCCCTTGTGATTTTTTCTCTTCCCGAAGTTGAAAAATCACCTCAAGGGGCTCATTTTGGGACTGTCGAAAATACCCAAACTGTTGTAACCCACCAGCTGAAGACTATTCCCAGTATTGCAGTTCTAGCACTGCTATGATGAGTAGGAGAACCATTTCTAGCTCTGTGTGGCTTCAGAAGGAAGTTACTTTGAGGGTGACAATATAAAATTGTAATTATATTTGATGAAAAAAAAATAAAAGTCAGTCCGCACTTAATTTACAGACCTCGTACAAAGGCTGCTCCATCTCCTTTTCGAAAAAGATTAATTTTGTGCATTTTTCGTTTCGGAAGGCAATCGAATTGTCAGTCCCAGTCTAATCATATTAGCAAATTTTCCCAAAATAATTGTAAAGTCTGGTTTTATTGATGGAAGTTGTTGAAGGGGGTATGTAAAACATGGACGCATAAAATGGGTACACCAATTTTTGTGGGAAAACTTTTTATTCGACAACAAAGAATGAGAATGTGATTCAATCAAAAGTGTTGTCAGGAACCAAAAAACTCTCCAACAAAATTGAAGTCGATTGATCTAGTAGTTTTTGAGAGTTTCTAATTGTTTATCCCAAAGCACCTGTCTAGTTTACTGAGCAATATTCAGGGTTCGTGCAAAGGGCATTTTCTAGCGAAATGCACGAGTTTACCTTGTCGACATGAATCGCAAACCATTGTGGAAGATAAATGTTATTTTTATGCAAAAAAGTATGGGATACGTTTTTTCTTCCAAACAAATTCAAACATTTCGTATTTGTGAGTAATTCGCAACAAAAGATGATGGACACATCCGCTGTGTTTTAAAATGTGTATAGTAACGCATGTTTTCCGAATATCGTAGCGCATTTGTTCAATAACTCACAAATACGAAATGTTTGAATTTGTTTAGAAGAAAAAACGTAACCTTTGTTTTTCGCTAAGAAATAATACTTATCTTTCTGAATGGTTTGTGATTCATATCGGCACGGTAAACCATGTATACTGCTAAATAAACTAGTAGTGATGGCCGGAAAACAGGTGTTTTGGGATAAACAATTAGAAATTCTCAAAAAACTACTTGACCAATATACTCCAAATTTGTTGTTGTTATTTAGAAGTATAATACGGACTTAAAGATTTCAAGTAGTTGCGTGAAATTATCGTCGCATTAGCAGAAAGTGCCAAAACCTTGATTTTGCCTAGCTTTTCGGCCATAACATTTTTGCTATTAGTCGGATCTTTATACGTGTGGTCTCATTTTGTAAATCTCATAAATACCTAAAAATCTTATATAAAACGTTTTTTCGTTCCTGTCAACACTTTCGATTGAATCCCAAAAAACACGTTTTCTCATCCTTTGTTGTCAAATAAAACGTTTTCCCACAAAAATTGGTGTGCCCATTTTATGCGTCCATGTTTTAAATACCCCCTTGAACAACTTGCACCAATAAAACCACACTTTACAATTATTTCGGGGAAATTTGCTAATATGATTAGAATCAGACTAAGTTGCTATTACTTTGTTGACAGAATTATAGTTTTCCACTCCGAAATGTCTTGTATAAACTAAGTAAGTATCTGTACCATGGTAGTTTTCTCTAGGTCCTGAAATAATGGCTGATTTTGCAGACATGTCACCCTTTTCATTGCCTTGTATGCCAATATGGCCTTTTACCCAAATAAATACAACGAGATACTAAGAGTTTTGCGAACGACGTGCCCTTTGTAGTATGTTTTGTCAGAAACTATTATAATTTCTAAAAAGGAGTTTGGATCTGTAAGGACTGCAACATTTTTTAAATTATTGTTAAGACACCACCTCAAACCTTCCCTGACAGCTTCAGCTTTCGCGATATAAATTCTACATGCACCAGGAAGCAGGAATTTTTTAATTACATTATAGTTTTCTACAACAGCTAAATTTCCAGACCCATCGCGATAAACTGATGTTTCAATGTTGAATCTGTCCAATATTCAGGAAACCACACTATCCTATCGTATGAGGGGCTTATAAAGTACTCTGGAAAAATACATGTAAGCTTAGAAATGAAGCAGTTCATACTGTGCGTAAATATCGGAGAGGTATCTCATTTTATCTCAGATAATTTTTTGGATGCGGGAATATAGCATTAGGTCGGGCATCTTGCGTTACGCTAACCAAACGAAGCCAATAGAGTGATGAATGTAGTCTCCGGAACGTTAATCAAAACTAAAAAAATCCGTTGATCGGGAAACGTCGACAATAATTTCTATAAAACCCTTTCAACAATTATCACATTGTTGAATTGAACAGCGTTCCACAATCAAAAAACATCCAAAAAGGAAAACTCAAAAAAGTACTCACATTCAATTCTAAAGCTTTTGTTTCGATTTCAGTCTTAGTATATTTGGCTCTAAAATTCAGAGGTTCAACTCTAGACTCCATTACTTTGAACCATTGACGCAGGCACTTTAACTCGTAGTCAATGTCTGCAAAAAGTTAAATATTAGCATGTTATCAAGGAACACCCTGTATAACTTGTCAAATGTTTAACCTTACAGGATAAACATACAAAGATGAAGAAGCCAGTTTACAATGTGGTGTTGATATGATACTGCTTTTTAGCACTAGAAATCTATTAGCTATTAGTTTCCGTCAAAGATCCTGCATAATGAAATTGGGTAAATGCTTAAAAACTATTTAAAAAATTATAATTCTTGAGGTGACCGAATATCTAAATTAAAGTTTAAACCTTGCTCGATCTCTTGGTTTTCGTAGACTGTGCCTATTTGAAAGAAAGTAGACCTACCCAAGCAGAAGTCTTGGTCACAATGGTTGCAATCTGACGGACCTAGAATACTCAAAATTGAATCCCATTTTGAGTTCAGCTGCATTGTTCTCCAACTAACTTCTTCTTGAACCTCTGGATGCAATTGCACAAGGTGACTAGCTTGATCATTAAATAACTTAAGGGCAGAGCTTTTCTCGAGGACCATATTCTCGCAATGCTGAAAAAAAAAATTTATTATGCAAAGCGTTATTTTAAACTTGTATCTCGCGGACGATTACACAGCGTCAGCTGCGCAATACGATTGTAAGAGCCAAGCTGTCAAGGTCATAGGAATTCGGTACCAAAATTTAGCGTAATTTTAGGGACTTGTCTGGCTTCCAATAAGAATAACACATTTTCTACGTCATAGCGCCCATTCGAATAATAATAGAAATGTAATTTCTTGACGAAGAACGAAGGTTTAGTTGTGTCATCAGTGGCGCTCCCAGGATTTCAGTCTGGGAGGAGTAAAATGGAAAGTTAATTCTTAGTGTGACGTACTGAAGTGTTATAATGATTTAACATTAAAAGCATGACATATGCAGACATATGAATTTGTTACAGTAGAAAGTACATACAATTTTTTTTAATTTTGAATCATACGGAATCAAAGTGTAAATAAAGCAAACCAAGCTCGAGCAATATTCATATATTAAAACAAAAATGCACAATAATATAATCTAGAGTCGTCTGGGGGGGGGGTAATTACCCCCTTTACTCCCCCCCCCCCCGTGGGAGCGCCAGTGTGTGCTATCACAAGTCAAAATCCATCAAGCCGTTAGCCCGTGAAATAAAAATTACCGCCGGAGACCTCAAAACCTCAAATGTCAAAATTTATTACGCCGCTTGAGCTGTAGCTTGTAAATAGGGATTTCAAAGTTGAAATTTGAATTTAAGAATCCCTTATTTTGATTTCATAAAACTATAATACGTCCAGCATTACTTAGTCTAGGGACATCTCATATGTCAAAATTCATCCAGTGATTTAAGCTGTAGGCCGTGAAATATAAATTTCAAAGTTGAAATAGTCTACGAAAGCCCTCCATTTTGATTTTATGATACTTTAGTATGCCCACACTGTCACACTGCTAAGACTAATTTTAACACCGCATATGTTTAAATCCATCAAGCTGTTTGGGCAGTAGCCTATGAAACAGAATTTTTCAGCAGGAACCTCTAAAACATCAAAAAACGAAGTTTGTGCGTTTTTTTTTTTCGTTTTTGGTCCTTTTCTGCGCCGCTAGTAAGACCGATTTTCAAAAACTACAAAAATGTGTCATACTTGTGTGAAAATTTCATCAAATTCCGAACGATACTTCTCAAGTTATAGGTGGTTATGAAATTGGCGGACAGACCGACAGATGGAAATGAGTGATGGTTTTTCGTCATATAACATCCAAAAAACATAATATCTCAATTTCGAAATTTTTCGCGATTACAATCCTTCCTCGCCAGTTTTGGCATAGGAAGCAAAAATAATAATATCACTAAAATCGTACGCTTTTTGTTTCATGGCAAGGTAGACTTCGTTTTTAGCATATACATATCTACGAGCGTAAAACATAAACCTTCTTTTAAGGCTTTTAAGATGAAAACTATCAAGCATCAACAAAGCTCTTACAAGAATGAGTAAAACAGACACACCAGCATCAGCAACAGTACAAAAATTCCAGGAAATAGTCAACAAATACCAAAACCATTAAAAAATATACACCGATGCATCAAAACTGGACAATAGAGTAGGAACAGCTGTTGTGACATCCACCACTACCATTAAAATAAAATTACCAGACGAAGCAACAACTCTAACAGGAGAATTATGTGGAATATTAGAAGCCATGAAACACGTACAGAATCAGAACATACAACGAAGCCTCATAATAACTGATTCTCTAAGCTCACTTCAACTTATTGAGCAGATATATACTGATAACCACCTAGTGCACCAAATTAAGCAGATTATTCACTCATTACAAGCAGACAACCAGGATGTCGTATTCGAATGGGTTCCTTCTCGCGTTGTTATCCAAGGCAACGAGAGAGCAGACCATCAAGCAAAACTAGCAGCAAACATGGAACACACACCAACCACAGACATCCCTGGTACAGATATAAAATCTCATCTTAAACACAGAGCTATTCAAACCTGGAATACCAACTGGCAAAACAACGCATCGAAGCTGCTTGAACTGAAACCTAGATTCGGACCATGGACAATACACACAACAAACAGAAAACACCAAACAATCATCACCCGACTCCGTTTAGGCCACACCCGCATCACCCATGGATATCTCATCACGCAGGAACCAAAACCCATGTGTGAAGTGTGTGAAGCTCCTCTCAGTGTCAAACACATATTAGTGCAGTGCCCTTTATTAGAACACTATAGAGTGGAATGTCACCTCACATCATCAACCATGTGTGATATTTTAGCACCAAATTGCAACATAAGCAACCTATTACGTTTCCTACAGCAAACTAATATATTATATAAAGTGTAACATCTAAGCCCTACCGCTAATGGCCTTTAGGTCGAAGCGGATAATTAAATAAAAAGAAGGTGAAAACTAAACTAACATGATTAAAAACGACTACAGCGACGAAAAAGTACAAGAAAGTCAATATTGTTTTTGTAAGAGCAAGTGTAACAGAAAATGCAGAGACGTCGTTATCAATAACCGAAAATAGTAGGTGCAAGAGATGATTGAACGCAAATAGTCGAAGAACTTCACATTTTGTTTATACACTAAATAATAATTTTTACCTTTAGACTGAAGTTCATTCTGATAGATGCGCGCTTCACGAGCACAATGATACCTGACATCGTAATATAAGCGATTTACGATATATGTAATATGAGAACAGGGATATAGGATAACAAAATAATAAACAGAAAAGCTTGAAATTGCGTATCGGTTATGCTCAATATAATATCAGTGCATGTGAAAATATAGGTTTAGGACTTCCAGAAAAATATAGTCAAGTAGTTTGACTCTGAACATTATTATACCTTCAATGCAGGCAAGAACGCCAATTTTACCAATTAATAAGTCATACAATCACAAATCATTCATGTCCTTCATACGTCGATGCTACGCAACTCTATAAGTCTTTTAGCCCCGATCCCAACAAGAAGCTCCTATTTATAAAAAAAAACCGAGACAGGATACGCGAGATAGTTCAAACGTCAATCATTTAATGTTGATGCCTTTCAATAAACACTGTCCATGTTTCCTTTTAGGCCAACACTATCGACAACACCAGGCAAGTGCGCAGGCGCTTAGGAGATCGCTGACGGACAGTGTTGCCGAGCTTACTGTTTTGTAGTAGATTGACTACTTTCACAATATTCGGCTTAGGCCTTAGTTTTGCGATAGTTACACCCGAAAATTGTCAAAATGTTCAGATGGGTTCGAGAATTATGGAATATACTTACGGCCCGCAAAGCTTTGTCTGTAATATTTTCCTGTTTCCCATATATTGTCTCCTGAACGCTATTTAACCAAGAATAGAGTTCGGAGAAATGAGAGTAGAACCCGTGGAGTGTCCAGGTGCTAGTTTGCCTTGACAAATCGCCATTAACTTCCTGCAAAAAGACAAAAAAATCAAATTTTTCTCATTAGTATTTATAAAAAGTGAATACTTTCGTTAGTCCAGACCATTAAGGCAGCGTCTCATCCTTATTGGGCATCATCAGCGCGGTCCAGATGGGACGATGAGCGAAAGTTCAATCAAGCCGTCAGACAAATTTAGTTTTCAGTGCATATAAGTTGACTGTATCACTTTACTTTCATATCTATGAGCTCAAAAAATAAGTAGCTGCCCGCATGTTCTCCTAGATGTCTTACATAAATAGTAGCTCATTATCAGATGTGTTATCACTGTACGTTTGTGTTAATTGATTCCACACCTCGTCATTCGTTTTTTTTTTGAAACTTTTCACAATTAATGTAACATTTACTCTCAGGTGTGCCGGAAAAAATACATCGATATAAATCCTTACATTTTAGCGTTATCAGTGGTAGGTCAAATATGAAGCACATCTGATGTCAAAATTGTTGCGCTCCGTAAAAAAATCATTTGATTGCCGCTTAAAAGGACCCGGCAGTTCAGAAACATCGGAAAATTTAGTTTTGATTTTTTAAGAGTAATGACATCCAAACATATTTTGTCCGCCCCAAAAAAGAACGGTAACTCAAAAAACATGAAAAAACAAAGTTTCAACTTTCCTCAAAACTTATAAAACTTTTTCGTCCTTGGTATAATACTAATGAAAAGTGATATTTGCTTTGGTGTGAAGTTGCCCACAGAAATGCTAAAATTGGATTAACGATAAAGACAAATCTCTTATTTGGAGGATTGGCTCACCCTGCATGAATATGCGATATAGTACCACCTAGTGAATATTGTGTCAAAATTTCACCAAAATCCAAGGAATACTTTCCGGGTAATAGAGGCCAAGGATTAGCGGACGTAAGTACAGGGAGATCCAGAAAAACGTGATAATGCATTAAGATACGAGGGTTGTTTCAAAAATAAGGTTCCTAACGCTGTAACTTTGCTACGCGCATTGCTAGAAGAAATCATCGCCGTCACCGCCAGGTGAGAAATTCGGGCGGATATTCCGATTTTTGCATGCAAAAACGTTACCACCTATAGAAATTCATCATCAGTTGAGAATTCTTTGACGGACGCATGGACATCCACAAATAACAACAAAGCAAGAGGCCGTCGATCTCCGAGGAAGTTATGGCAAAGATTGAGCAAATCTTGCTCCAAGATCGACGAATCACGATCCGGGAACAGGCGGTTGAAACTTCTGAGGCCTCTGAAAAAGCTGAGACGGGCAATTCAAAATCGCACGACAATGGGCATCCTCATTTCTCACAACAAACGAAAGACTTAATCGAGCGATTTGGCAGCGAAGTCGCCGGCCATCCCCCTTACAGCCCTGACAGCGTTTCCGAAATTGAAGGAGTACCTAAGCCCTAGGCGGTCAACGAGACGATTTTTCGATGTACCTTCTGTCCCAAAAGAACTGCCACGTTTTTCTGAAGCATGCAACATCCAAAAAAGTCTACCTACCTCGATTTCAATAATTTTTGCGATTAAAATCTTTCGCGAAAATTGATATGTGAAGTAAATTGCAAAATAAATGTTTAAAAATAGTGCGACATTTGACATTTACCTGACACCTGTCTATAAGCTGATTATCCATGATGTAATTGTAGTTGGCTTGGAGCACTGACCAAAACTCTTCTCTGTGATCGCTAGCTGTGCTACCCCATGATCTGCGAAGTGCGGCGGCTTTCACTCTGTTTTTCGTCAGGCTGTTGAACTGTCTGGGCTTGACAGCCTTGTCTGGGGTACATTCTGTTGCTGGCAGTGAGGAGAGCGAGAAGCTCGCTTTTAGAGAACCTGGAACAAAATCATCTTCAAATATAGGCTATGAACCAAGATCATTATTTGTTTCCATTTTTCTAAAATTCGTGTACAAGCCCGCTTCCACGCGCGGTTAAAACAAAATTGCGAGTTCGATTCGGCTGGAATTTTGAAATTAGCCGTTTACGAGAATGTACTTCACGATAGTACATTTCTCTCGCGATAGTGGCGCCATCGGGCGGTGAGGATACGTACTTATCGGACTGCCCTCGTATGTTCCCACGCATAAGTAAAAGTGGCATTCTTGAATTAGAGAGGTGCCTTAAGGAAATATATATATATATATATACTTTGAAGTTGAGTCATTAATTTTCAGATAATGATTGTAGAAGGAAGATAAACCAAAATATGCGTGTAAAAATAAAAAAAAAATTAAAAAAAATGTTACCTTGTTTTATAAAGTATCCCCCCGACAAGTATTTCAGTGCGGACCTGTATTTGATCGTGCGGTCTTGGAGCACCGGCAATGCCCTCCCCTGTGAGGTCTTAAGTCACCTGATTCACGAGCCCTTTGTACTACATTCATCATTTTCGTAAACATGTGCCATTTTTTATTCACTATTCACTCACGCGTTACCGACTGACACATCGACTGAATACAACTGAATAAGATTGTACATTGTAGTAAAAACATCGTTTCAAATTCTTTCGCTTTTTTGTTTCCGATGCGATGAACGGATAAGGCGGATTATATCCGTTGTTGCCAAACACGAGCACATAATATTATTATTGAGACAGGGCGGTACTCAAACTTCTAAAGGGCTATAACTTTGTTACTTTAATTTTACCAGAAAAATGTTAAAGGAAAAAAACATTTCTTTTGATCAGATCTACTCACTGTTAAAATAAATGACTCAACTTCGAAGTATATAAAAGATCTGGGCAGTTCCCCTACTGCATCCCAAATGACATACTTTAGGAGATGCGACAAAAGGACAATGTGGCAACACGCCTGGATCAGGCACACAAGAAATTTCTTAAAAACACCCAGAGAGACAAGTCAGTGAAGCCAAGTTTGACCAAAGAGGATCACCCAATCAGCCAGGCAAGTCAACCATGTCAAACCCAGCCTTCAAAATTCAAGCGTCCGGTGCACTATATCTGATAATGATAATAATACTTTGTAAAAAGGTTTTGTCCTAAGGAGTACATATTCTGAATGTATGCAGAAGCAACATAATTTGTTTTTTTATTGTATATACATAAGCCAAAGGCATCATATGTAACATAATCTGTATAAGATATAAATTGATTGAATTGTCGACAAGTATATACAAAAAAGTGAGATTACAAGAGTGATATATGGATACGGATTAGTTGTTACGAGTGAACTTATTTTCGCCAAGCTCACGTTCACAACTTTCCTTCACACCGAATAAAATGACACGTTTTGTGCATCTGTTATATTCTGTTGTTTTATCAGACAGAATAGATATTTTACAGATTTTATTGCAGAATTAGAATTCAAACAGGGTATGTAAACTTTAGAACGGTGCATTTACAGGTTTTTATCAAGCATAATGTGAAGTTAATTTGATGATTACTGTGAGAAAGTGAAACTTATAGATACGGTTTGTCGCTGATAAATTCATACTGTTACTGAAGTTTAAAGGTTATCTGGTTCCGTTTTCAATATGCGACCTATTTTTCGGTGAAGAATTCAATCATCCCATTAATTTTTTTCGTATCTCGAAAACAGACATAAACAACAGAAATTCGGTTTCGCGACCAAAAATGCTTATCATAAGCATGGCTGGACCTATATTTTTGATAAACGCATGTTTTGTTCTACCTTTATTCGAAGGCGGTCCGATAAATACTTAGCCTACAGAAGAAAAACGAAAATTTTGGAAAAATGGCGATTTATTTACTCAACGTAGTCTCACTTGACCCAGCGTTGCACCAACTTCTTAAACCTATCTGAAAACTACGTTTTCTGGAGATCTGCAAAGTAAGCATCCGTGGCGGCGATAACCTCCTCATTTCACTCGAATTTCTGCCCGGCGAGTGACTTTGGAACATAAAGCCGGTGCATTACACTGGACAACAAATTTTAGTTTTTTAATTGTATCTTGTGGGAAAAGTGCACTTCTTTGTTAATTTTGGGGCGCTGAATACAAAAATGACAATGAAATAAAAAAATTAGTTGCGGTTTAGAAAAAAAACTTTTTATTTTTAAGGATATATTAAAAAAGTAACAAGATTCATATACTTATAAGAATCACTATATGCGCTGTCTTTTTGCTGTTCTTTTATGGATCGTTTCTGGAGCATCTCTACCAAGAGTCCAACAGTAGTCTGCAAGCATGGAAGGATTCCACTTTCCCTGGTACCTCTTTTCCATTGTTGAAATATCCTGATGAAAACGTTCGCCGTGCTCATCACTTACGGCTCCGCAATTGTCAGGAAAAAAGTCCAGGTGTGAGTGTAGGAAATGTATCTTAAGAGACATATTACAGCCCATCTTTTGATACGATGACAGCATATTTTTGACAAGGGTTTTATAGTTGTCAGCTTTTCTATTTCCCAAGAAATTAGTGACCACCAGACGGAAATCATTCCAAGCAGTTTTTTCAATACCTGTTAAAGTGTTTTCAAATTGTGTATCTTTCAAAATATTTCGAATCTGTGGCCCAAAAAAAATACCTTCTTTAACCTTTGCCTCACTTAGTCTTGGAAATTTCTGACGCAGGTATTGAAAAGCTGACCCATTTATATCTAATGCCTTGACAAAGTTTTTCATTAGGCCCAACTTGATATGCAGTGGTGGTAATAAATTTTTTTTCGAATCTACTAATGGCATATGCCTGGCTCTAGGAATTGACGAACAGGCCAGTTTTGTCTGGTGTAATGAAGTGCCTTTGCCCGACTGTCCCATTCACACAAAAAACAGCAAAACTTTGTGTAGTCTAGCTGCAGCCCAAGTAAAAGTGCAACAACTTTCAAATCGCCACAAATATGCCATTGGTGCTCATCGTATTTTATGCATGTCAATAGGTACTTCATATTGTCATATGATTCTTTCATGTGAACTGCATACCCTACAGGAAGAGATGGTAAAATATCTCCAATATGCAATAACACTGCATTTAAACTCAATGTTGAACTGTCTATGAACAATCTCCATTCTTCTGGGTTATAGAT